GCTGTATCATTACCTCAGCTACTGTGACAGCCTCTTGATCGGGAATAGGATACGCTTCAGGCCACTTGGTGAAGTAATCAATGACAACAAGTATGTATTTGTTGCCATCAGCAGTTCGTGGCAGAGGTCCCAAGATGTCAAAGGCGATACGTTCAAAAGGCGCCCCCTACGTTGTAACGTTGCAGCTTGCCTCGGCTGCGTCTCCTTCGGTCCTTTCCGACCTGCACAGGCATCGCAAGATCGGCACCACTTTTGCACGTCATCCTTTGCATTATTCCAGTAAAAGCGCTCACGAACTCTCTGTAAGGTCTTCATTATTCCAAAGTGACCTCCTGTAGGGCTGTATGTAGTTCTTTAAGGACATCAGGAATGCGGGATCTTGGAAGTATCAGTTGCCATCGGAACGTCTTCCCATCATCCGATTCGAATTTCCGGTATAAGACGCCGTTTCGAATGTGAAGTGAATCCCAGAGTGCCCAGTATTGTTTTGGTTGTAGGACTACAGATAGAAATGTCCTGCCAGGTAGGTTTTCTGTTTGATGACTCCATTAAATCAAGTATGGGTTTAATGTCGCGGTCTTCCAGCTGGTCTTTCCTGACTTCATCATCACTCCACGGGTCTCGATCAGCCGATGTTGATGTTGTAATTTGTCTTGCGACCGGAGTCAGCAGCTCGTATTTCGCTTCCACCCTGGAACAATATCGGCAGCTTTCTTGGCAAGGTCTTCTAGACAGGGGCGTCGGCGTTTCCGTGTGATGATCCCTTACGATGACGGATAGTGATGTCATATTCTTGGAGTCTCTGTATCCACCTGGCTATTTGACCCTCAGGATTCTTGAAATTTAAAAGCCAGGTCAATGATGCATGGATCCGGTGCGGAGGCAGGAATTTTCTGCCGTATAGATAATGATGGAAACTGTTCTACAGCTTTGACTATGGCGAGCAACTCTTTCCTGGTGACACAGTAATTCCTCTCCGGTTTAGACAGGCACTTGCTCCAGTACGCTACTACACGTTCTTGGCCGTCTATTTCTTGGGACAAAACAGCACCGACACTTTCATTGCTCGCGTCGGTGTCGAGAATAAATGGGTCTGTCGAGCTGAGGATACGTCAGGATTGGAGCAGATGTTAAAGCTTCCTTTAAGTTGTTAAATGCATCCTCGCATTCTTTTGTCCACAAGAACGTTTGCTTGCTCTCTGTCAGCTTGTGAAGGGGTCTTGCGATGGAAGAAAAGTCCTTCACGAATCTCCTATAGTAGGTGCAAAGCCCTAGGAAGCTTCTCAGCTGATGGACATTTTCGGGACGTTTCCAGGATTTAACCGCTGATACCTTTTGAGGATCCGTGCGCACACCTTCTGCAGAGATGACATGTCCCAGGTAAGTCACTTCCTTTCGGAACAATTTCCATTTAGCGGGACTCAGCTTCAGATTGGCTTCTTTCAGTTTCTGAAGCACCTTTCTAAGATTTTCTAAATGTTCTTCAAAACTCTTTCCGACGATCTCCATAAGACGTTCGAATGTTGCCGGCGCATTACACAGTCCAAACGGCATCACCTTGAATTGCCAAAGCCCTTGTCTCGTAGTAAATGCCGTCTTTTCTCGGTCTTCAGGCTGTATTTCTACCTGCCAATACCCACTCTTTAAATCAAGTGTTGAGAACCACTTGCTTCCAGAGAGAGTGTCTAGAATGTCGTCAATTGTAGGAAGAGGGTAACTGTCTTTCTTCGTAACCTCATTCAACCGGCGATAGTCAACGCAAAATCTTGTTGAGCCGTCTTTCTTTCTGACTAAGAACGATGGGAGATGCCCATGGACTTGCTGAAGGCTCGATGACATCGCCTTCTTCCATATCTTTTAACAGTGTTCGCACCTCTTCCTGTTTAGCAAACGGTAGACGTCTTGGATGTTGCTTGATCGGGGGGGATGATCGCCGGTATCTATTCTATGTTGTGTCAAACTAGTTCGACCCACGTCAGAAGACGAGCGGGAGAAAACAACTTGAAGATCTTTAATGACGCGATCGGCAGCATTCTCTCTTTCATCGTTTAATTGCGCATTCTGCAATAACTCCGATGTAATGCTCTCTGAGGACACGGATTCTTGGATGTTACTCTTTCTTTCAACGCTGGTTACTGGAGTACATGCTGCAACCACTTCACCTTTCTTAATAACTCTCCCTTCTCAGTTACATTGGCGACTCTCACCGGGGGATAACCGTTCTGGATAGGTCGACGAGTGTTGAGGCTACTAGTACTCCTTTTGAGCTATTACAGTTATTGGGATATTTTATGATACCGTAGCGGAAATTTCTGTTTTCGGTTATGGATCCAGGAAGTAAAATTTCTGTTCTTGCAGGTATTGTGATATTGTCTTGTGCTATGATTTTATGGACAGATTTAACTTCTTCATCATTAACTCCAAATAAAGGTATGTCCTCAGATGTAGAATGCAATTCGTTATTTTTAAAGTCCAAGGAAAAATTGTAAAAATTGTATCTCCTTAGAAAGTCCAATCCGAGTATGCAAGAATCAGTGATCTCTGCTACATATGCCGTGTGATGGTAAGCGGCACTTCCAAACGTGATGTTAACATTTACTTTTCCATCGATGTCGATCTTCTCACCGGACACAGTCTGGAGGGTAACGCAGGGCGGCGTCCAGATAAGTTTGCTTCCCAGTTGTTGAGCCAAATCTTTTCGGATGATGGTAACGTTGGCTCCTGTATCTATCGTCATATTGCAGGGAACTCCATTAATATGTCCTATTATGAAAAGTCCATTACTGCCGCCTCTCACTGCAGAAATCTGAAGCGCTTTAAACTGGGGGCTTTTCATTATCTGGCAACCTCCGCCCCGCGAGATGGCCACTAATTAGTTTCCCTGCTGTTTGTTAGGAGCGGTCTTAACATCCGTACCCTGGGGTGTTCTGCAGTTTCGTCGTATGTGTCCTTCAGCACCGCAGTTCCAGCACTTTACGGTCGGTTTCTTGTCACCAATATTCCGTCTCAAGGCGTTCAGTTGTCTAGTTAAATCGTCTAGACGAGCAGTGACTTGATCCCCTGGCTCCTGGACTTGAGCAGCTCTGACTGGATGGCGGTCTCGACGGGTGGCTTGCTGGGCTGCCTCGAATTTCATGGCGTACACTAAAGCGCTTTTCAGATCTTTAACATCCGCCATTCGCAGTGCTTTCTGTATTTCAGGGTCCCGGATGCCATCGATGAAATATTGCAGGGACAGGATTTCCCTTGTTTCTGTCGGGCACTCCGAAAAGGCGTGATGTGACAGCCTTTCAACATCCGTGGCGAGCTCCTGAAGTGTTTCGGTGAGCTTCTGTTGACGGGATTTTAATTGGAGCCTGCTGTAGTCTTTTAAACATTTCTCCCCGAAGCGCAGCTCCAAGGCGCCGGACAGAGCTTCGAAATCTAACCTTTTGTTTTCGGGAAGAGTCTGAAGGATATCCGCTGCGTCGGCTCTTAAAGAAGCGGCAAGATGACAGGCCTTAGCTTGGGAATCCCATCCATTCGCATCCGCCACGATGGAAAATTGTGTCTTGTACACCTGCCAGGAGGTCTTCCCATCATATGTCGATAGCTTTAGAGAGGGATGGGTAGAAATTTTAAACCATCTGAAGTGCTCCCTGCGGTCGCTACGAATTTCTTTAAAGTGTCAACTTCTTTGGCGACGACAGCAGAAATTCTGTCTTCGATTTGTTGTTCAATATGTCCTTGGACGGCAGAAACTCTTTCTTCAATTTGTTGTTGGAAGGCCGAAACTCTTCCTTTGACTCGTCGCTCCACAGCCGACACTCTATCTTCTATTTCATCTTTGACAGAAGAAACCTTTTCTTCAATTTGCCCGACTTTATTTTTGACAGCTCCTATTCTGTCTTCCATAGCCTCAAATTTACTTTCTATTATGCAGGTTATTTCTCTTTTCATTTCGTCTTGACCTGCTTCAATCTTTTCTTGTACAGCTTTTATGTCTTCTTTAAAAGTTACTTGACCAGTTTCCAACTTTTTGTGAATGGCTTCCATTTCCTTTTTAACGGATCTCATCTCTCCTTCAACGGAATCTTGGCCCAATTTCATTTCTTCCTTAATTTCTTCTTTAAATGAGGCAAAGGCTGATATTAACTGCCTTATTTGCTCTTCCATCGCTCTTGTTATTGCCATTCAAATCCCACTCCTGACACCAAAAATTGTTGCGTGCGTACGGGTTCGTTATGAAATGAATGCACGAGTCCAATGAAAAATGAACACAAATTTATTATTCATCACAACAAAAAATGCTTAAATTTTCTCAAATTATCATGCAGTATTACAATATCTCACAGTAGTTATCTTTTAACTACTCAAATGTCCAATAGAATGTAATTCAAAACAGCTAAAGAACGCTAATCCACGAATTCACTACAATCAACAAGAGCAGTTTTCTAAACAACAACAAACTAAGCAACTACTACAAACTGAGATGTTTTCCTCCTTTTATAAGATTTTAAAATCACGCGCTAGAATTTTCCAGTACTTTCTCAAAATCAAAAAGAGATATTTATTTATTTGATGCACGCGCTCTTGTATTTTCAATTTTCCTGCTTAGCTTTCTTTTAATGTTCATCACGCGCTGCACTGCGCGAGAAATAAAACCATTTAATTTATAATTGAACTAACATTAGCTTTTTAAATACCAAATTCGTAACAATATATAAGTGTGAAAAACTGTTTTTCGGGCAGAATGATTTTTGAAGCAGACTGATTTCTTTTTCAAATCATTTAATGTATAATTGTACCTTAATTTTATTTTTTATTTGTTTGCTTTGTGAAATTCTTCATACTATATATGTACAAGCATATCTATATGCCTGAGTAGAAAGAAGTACCTACTATATGCCTGAGTACAGAAGTAACTTTGAATGATTGAATGATAAAAAGTAGACCCAATATCTGTCTGAATCTCTTTATTTGATATATGCATTAATAACAGATAAAATTTTTTGCTTTAGCTATATCATTAAAATGCCTGGTGTAAAGAGTATCCATGAAAGTGATAATGAAGATCTTGATCAAGAAACCGCAGAAAGTGAAAAAACTAGCAACGATGAAAGTGATTCAACTTCAGGATCTGGTTTAGATGATGATGACAGTTCAGGTTTTTTTTTTTTTTTTTTAACATTAGTTCAGCTTTATGTTCTATTTGATATAAACCTATGATATTTGCTCATGATACAGTCAAAAGTCTTTAATCCAGACTCATCGGGACTTCGGCGATTCCGGATTATAGATCATCAGTTTAAATCTGGTTAGATGGCATGCAGAAATTATAAAATTAAAAATATGAAACCGTAATTTATAAAATAATGAGCAATTATGAACTAAAGGGTATCAAAATTTACAAAAAAAGAAGCTTAATATTTATTTGTTTACTTTATTAAACATTTCTTTCAACGCGCGCATGCATAAAGCATACATTGCGCATAGCCGAAATTAGAAAATTGCAACCAGAAAACTATTTGATTTGTATTCGTGATATTTATAATGACGAGGAATTTGATTTAAATCATATCAAAGACGGATTACTTCGAGATGAAATACTACATTTAGTAAGGAATTATAAGCCGAATAAAATAAAAACATCTGCCCTGAAAATAACGATAGTGCTGACACATCAACTTCCAGTTCATTGCACGCTGCGACGTCCCCCCCCCTCGCGCAGAGCAGCTTGAAATTGATAAACAGATTTTGGAACGGTTAGATAAACAAAGGATATGCCTTTATCCATTTTTTGTAGCAATTCCACTTTTTGTTTGATGGACATCGAAACAAACTTTCGTTTTGTAGATCCTTTGGGAGCTCCAGCATCGGAAATTCTATTTGAGATAATCGAAAGTTCAAGCTTACTTTTATAAAATTGCTCTTACAGTCTGCAAAAAATAATAAGCCGGATCCAATTCGAAGATTAAGGAACAACGCAATCTGCAACATTAACTGAAATAGATAATTAGATAATTTTAGCTTATACCGTCCATTATACATTAAACACGCACGCGAAAACGGATTCTGAGCTTGCGCAGTCGTAAAGGTCTTGCGCGCATGCGCAGAAAGATTTTAGCTTTGAGGTCCAGATTATAGATCATTCCGGATTATGGGTGTCCGAATTAATGACTTTTCACTGTATTAACCTTTTAATATATTTGCTACAGATACTTATTAGATGTATTAATGTAATCTCTTTAGTAAATGTTGCCAAATTTTCAGAATGCTTAGATTATAGCAACCATGCCAGTTTTTCTGTTTGAACTAGCATTGTTGCCATTTTCTATATGTGTTCTTTTTGTTGTATTCCAAGTTTCAACAGTTTTTAAAACTGGCGTAATTTTCTAACTAGATTTTAAAATACATGTTCGTAAGATTTATCTGCAATGAAAGAAGATACAGCAACATTTCTACAGAAATAAAATATTTTGCCATAAAATTGCTTAAAATAACAGTTGGTTTTGAATCTGTTCTCAAAGATTGTCACAAAATTTAGTAGTTGTCTGTTATCAGGATCAGATTCGGAAATGTATGTATGCACACATGTATGGATGGCTGAATGTGTCCATATGTTCATGTAAATATGTATGTGTATGTACGTACACATGCATGCATGCATGCATACATACATATCTGAATTCTATCCTGGTAACAGAAGATGGCCCAAAATTTCTACCAGAATGAAAGAAAAAATATGTGCTTGTAAATAGGATTTATTGATTGATTTTTTGCTGGTGAATGCTTAGAGTGTAAAATATGTATGTAATAAAGAGTTTTTGCAATTACATGTCATTATTTGTTTTCTTCTGTAAAACATTGCCAAACTCTGCTTAGGTGGGGTCACTGGTTTTTATAATTTTTCTGTAACCTTTTCAGATTAGTTTTAAAATAACATTTTTTAAGAAGTCATATTAAATTGGTATAACGGGGAAGGAAATTTTGTAGGAACGAAATTTTCATTGTCATCCAGAAATATTTCCTGTAAATGAAACCTCAGGTTAAAAGTAGAGATTATTATTATAACTGCAATATTGGTAAATTTTAAAAATATGTTGTAGGATTAAAAAATTCCTGGACTGAGTCTATAACATAAAAATTTTTTGCAGTAGTGAGACTATGAGAACTTTTTTGTGTTACAATGTTCTCCCCCTTTTCTAAAAGTGGTTTATCCCAAATAACATGGTCGAAAGCTCGCAGCAATAGCGTTTTTTTGTAGGTACATTTAGTAATTGGTGATAGAAAGAAATGGCGTCAGTTGAGCAGAAAATCAGTATAAAATTTTGTGTTCGCTTGGGAAAGAGTGGTACAGAGACTTTCAAAATGTTGAAGCATGTGTACGGAAGTGAAACATTATCGAGAGCGCAAGCTTTTGAGTGGCATACCTTTTCGCAGAAGGCAGGGAAAGTGCCAAAGACAACGAACACTGTGGTTGTCCCATGACTTTGTGCACCGATAACATCAAAAAGTTGTTTGCACAGTACATGCGAGCAGGCAGCAAACAATCTGCCAAATAGCAGAATCAGTTGGGATACCAGAGGCCACATGTCAGCGGATACTGACTAAGGATCTTAACATGCATAGGGTGTTATAACATATCGTTCCCACATGTTAAATGTAGAATAAAAGGGAATTTGAAGGGAAATGGCGGGAGACTTAATCTCGGCTGTCGACAGAAATCCTTCCCTACTTGGCAGAATTGTTACTGTAGATGAGAAATGTTGTTTTTTGTACGACCTGAAAACCAAGAGAGCATCGGCAACGTGGAAATCGCCACAATTTCCACGGGAGCAGACATTCCAGCAAGATTGCCCTAAAGGAAAGGTCATGCTAGAGATATTTTTTGATATCCAGGGCATTGTGCATCTGGAATTTATCCCTGAAGGACACACTGTGAACAAAGAACTCTACGTCGAAATCCTGCGTCATTTGCGTAAGTCAATCCGGAAGAAGAGACCAAACGGGGGGCCTGAGCTGTCATGAGTGCTGTTGCATGACAACGCTCCTGCTCACTGATCCCTACTCATCAATGACTTTCTTGCAAAAACGAAAACAACTGTCTTGCCTCATCCTAGTTACTCACCTGATCTCGCACCTGCGATTTCCTCCTATTTCCTGATCTGGCAAGACGCTTGCAGGGTCGTAGATTTCAATCTTTAAATAAAGTTAAATGTGCATCGCAGGCTGAATTAAAGGACATGTGATGCTAAAGCAAAGTTTAAAGTTTAAAAAAAAAACTAAACATTTAGCAGTAGTAGCAATAAAAGCTCCCTGAGATATCATGTTGTGCAGACATTGAAGACAATAAAAGGTTTTGAACTTAACCAATTTATTAACAATATTATAAAGAATAAAAACACAGAAAATAAATTTCAACAATATCAGAGTCTTAGGAAAAATATAATATAACCATCATTCATCAAATAATATTTTTACCTGGTCTCCAAAACACTGGCATTCAATACAAACAAAAATGTCCTAAACATTAATTATGCGGCCTAAAAATGAAGTTGGCTACACATTCAATAAGTCCATGATCAATGGTTGAGAAAACACCTGAAAATTTAAATGAAGTTCTTGAAAGCACTTAAAACCGGCCTAACTCCGTTTGCACGAGGAATCGCCGCTCACGTATTTTAAATGCCGCCTTCATTGAAGAACATGGATGCCGCCCACGGCAGTCACTCACATGGTAGCCTCTGGAACCAAGGAACTTTATTCTGGAACAACCATCTTATGGATATGAACCAAGGAACTCATTCCGAAACAATCATCCCGCGGACAGGCACCAAGGAACTTTATTCAGGAACAGACATCCCGCAAACCGGAACCAAGGCACTTTATTCACCGGACTGCATGCATCCTTCTGAAGGGGCTGGAAACCGCTCACTCAAGTGCCAGGAAAGCAGGAACTAGAAGGGTTGAGCCAGAGCGACGCGAGATACTTATAGCAGAAGTAGGCATGACGTCATCTCACGGCAACCAATCAGCTATCGGCACGAATCGGCTTTCCAGATGACGTAACATCACTTTCGTTTTTGCATCTCAATTAGGTTGAAACAGTCCATTCTCAATGCAAACAGTGGCAGCAAGAAAAAGAAGTAGAAGTAACTACTATATTACATTAAAATAAGAACTAAACTAAATAAACATTTCAAGGAGGAGAGATGATGCAGTAAAAAGTTTACAACACAGGTCAATTTCAGACACATGATTTTCAGGGGAAGTGTGTTGTGCACAATCTATTTTGAAGGAGGATGTGTTTCTGCAATTTAATTCATAACATTTTTTACGTTATAGACCCAGTCCGGGAACTTTTGAATCCTACCTCGTAGTCTGTGCATTATGCCAGAGAAGCAACATTCTCCTCCTCCTTCCCCCGAATTGAGAAAATTGTTTGAAATGTTAATGTTTCGGCTTACTCCTAGTATGCAGTGCACATGGGATTTGGCCATTTCTGGCGACATTAAGATGAGCAGTAAACGAATTATTTTGGTTTTGGCGACAACTTTCAAAATCATGCCAATGCCGTACCATGTACTAGGATTTTACCAATGTTTCTTATAAAGTAATATCAATCATCAAATGTTTTTAATATACGAACAAATATTTTGTATATTAAAAAGCATATATTTTTGTGTGTATGTAATAATTCTGTTATTTGAGTCCTGTTTAATATTCTAACTTCATGTTGGTAGTCAAATATAAGAATATAATCTTTATAGCTGTGTTATACTTGCAAGCTATGAAAATGAAGTATTTAAAAAATTTTGCTGTAACTTTTCTAATGCTATACAAGGCATATTTGGAAACTAAGTACCGTTGTGAAAAAAAAAATAGTAAAACAATTTTTTCGAATCCCATTTTATTTTTACATGAAAATACACGTCTTAAACTATTTTTCAACATAGTTTCTGCCAATGATCAAACACTTGTCATAGCGGGTGACCAGTTTTTGTATACCATCGTCAAAGAAACTTCCCGCCAGTTTCGATAACCATGACTCCACAGCATTTTTCGTGTCATCGTCAGATCCAAAGTGCTTGCCACCAAGCTCACGCTTCATGTGCAGGAACAAGTGATAGTTGGACAGCGCCAAGTCCGGGCTGTACGGTGGGTGATCGAACTGCTCCCAATGAAACTGTCGAATTAACGATTGAGTGACACCAGCAGTATGGGGCCGAGCATTGTCATGGAGCAACACAATTCCATTATTGAGCATTCCTCTTTGTTTGTTTTGAATGGCACGCCTTAGTTTTGATAGTCTCACAATATCGTGCCGCATAAATGGTTTCACCTTTGGAAAGAAATTCAGTAAGCAAAACGCCTTTCCTATCCCAGAAGACAGTGCACATGATTTTTTGTGAGCGACATTGTCACTTTGAGCTTTTGTTTTTTCGGAGAATGAGTGTGTCTCCACTCCATCGATTGTTGTTTCGATTCTGGTGTGAAATGACACACCCAAGTTTCATCACCTGTCACAAATTTGGTTTAAAACATTTTTTCCCTCATCACTGTACCGCGTGAGAAATGTCAGGGCACTACCGAGTCGCTTTGTTTTGTGAACATCAGTGAGCATTTTTGGAACCCATCGGGAACACAGTTTGCGTTAATTGAAGCGGACACAATTTCGAACAAAACAGTATGTGAAATTTGTGGAAATGCCTCTGAAAGAGTGTCATTGTGAAGCCTCTGTTCTCATGAATTGCTTCATCAACTTTCCTTACTAAATCATCGGTGACAACAGAAGGCCGACCACTCCGAGCCTCGGCGTGGACATTTGTTCGACCTGCATTAAACATTCTTACCCGCTTTCTCACCATTCCATCACTTATCGCATATTCACCGTAAACTTCTGTCACTTGACGATAAATTTAGGCTGGTTTAACATTCCTTGCGTTCAAAAATTTAATCACGGCACGAATCTCACAGTCAGCGGGAGAACTAATTGTGTTAAACATTTTGAATGTGCACAGCAAACTGAAAACACAACATAGAGCAACCAAAATGGCGACAATTGAAAGTCAGTGAATAAGAAAGACTAGTGCGCATGCGCGGACGCCTACCACAGCGCTGCGACGGTGCTAGAATGAAACGGTACTTAGTTTCCGAATATGCTACGTAGAATACATGCTTACATTTCAATAATCAATTTCAATGCACTGAAATCTTTTTTTCTGGGTAGGAGGAAGGGAGACTTGTTTGTTTTAATAAATTAATGTATATAAATAATAAAAAATAAACAGCTTTGATTTGGTAATTTTGACTAGTAATGTGAAACAGCTGGATAGAACTTAATTCAGATATTATAAATTTAATTATTAAAAATACTTATAGATAACTGCTTTAATCAATTTTTTTTAGACGGAGTAAAAAACAGTATAACTTTCTAATTATCTGCATTCGCTGTCAGTCACTTATTCATTGGTAATTAATTTTTCAATGACAAAAGGCAACTGCCATTTTGAAAATGTTGGTGCACTAAGAATTCGATACAGGAGCAATTGATCAGTAAAACTGAAAAAACAAAAAAAAGTTAATAATAAAACACTTAACTTTTTGAGAAAGCCTCCGTCCCCCTCTTGTTTTCCCCATGTACACAGCAATCTGTTTTTGCTTAATTGCAGAGAATTGCACAAATTCATCACAGCACAGCATCGATTTTGTGCAGTGGCCCAAGCAGGATATGTACGACCAAATAGGTAGTCATATATAAATATTTTTCACCAGCATTGTTGGTTACTACATAACTATTTTGACGAGATACTGCTTTGCTTCATGAACACTTTATCCCAATTGTGAAAGTGCGGGTAATCAAAGTAATAAGTAAGCTACAAGTCTGGCTGAGAGCACCAGTTTTATACCCTTTTTTCAACTTTTGCGTCAAGTTTTGTTATGCGAAATCCAATTTTTTCTAACAGTGTCAAACTTTCATGGTTTGATTATATGCCTTATGTATCATGCACTGTTTATTAAACTTCAGCTTGAGTAATAATAAAAGATAAATAATATTTGAAAACATTTTGATCATATACGAGTTGTGAAAATGCTGTATATTAGTTTTGATGTATTAAAATCTTTTATGAATTCTAATATGTGTTAGTGTTTCAGTGTGATAAACAAATGTATAGATTTTATGTTAAATTTGATCCTTAGGTATTAATGGTTTCTTTTTCCCCCCCTTATACAGAAATGGATGAAGAGGATTGTGAAAGAAAGCGCAATGAATGTTTAGCTCAGATGGCAGAGTTAGAAAAACAGTTTGTCCACATGAAAGAACAGTTGGTGTTTTTTTTTTTTTTTAAATCTTTTGCTGCTATAGAATAATTTGGGCACTTATAAATTAGCCAGTTCTTACCAATATATTGCCAATAATGCCACCTTACTCTGATTTCAGGAAGCATGTGATACCTCCCAGAAGTTATTTCGAATTCTTTTAAAAACACAAAATGTTTATTTTTTCCTTGTTAATGGTCCTTCTCACTTTTTCTGAGGGGGTAGCTCCTTTTATTATTTTGATGTTTTCTTCAGGCTGATAAGAATAAAGTTATATCTTCATTGCTTCGTTTTTTGCTACTCCTGGAAGATTTTCGAGATAACATTTTGTTGTAATGTGTTAATTTTTGCTGCATTTTGCATCATGTATTTACTAGATTTGGAATATGATTAATTCAATATTTACTGAAAATCAAGAAACCTGTTTTATTGACTTGCTGATGTTGGAAATATATTTCATTGCCTTAAAGGGATTAATAAATTGCTAGCGTTATATCAGCAGATGGCAGCTAATGTACAAATACCTTAATTCATAGTTTAGTCTAGAGTCACTACTATTAAATAATATAGAATCTGTATGTTTATATATTCCTCGCATTGAGGAAAAACGGTGGCACATAAAGCTATCAATTTTGAACATAGTCCTACATCGCAACATGGCCAACTCAAAGCCAGAATTTTTAATTTCAAATTTGGTTTTTTATTTATTTCATATTTTATGCAAATTTTAGAAGCTTTTGATTAAAAATTTACTATGATAGAAGCTTTGTAGCAAGCATGAGATATTTATAATTCAAATTTAATCCAAGAACTCGGTGTGAAAGACGCGTTGCCACTTCGCAGAACATAAAATATTTGTCTTTCAAATTTAATAAAAGAATGCAGCAACTCAAAAGAAATATGTTGCCAGTGTCCCAGTATAATTTTATTTTCCATGTGCCTCTTTGCTGCAATTTAGTGAAGCATACTGGGATGAACAAACTAAGTGATTCAGAAGCAATAAACACAGATGATTCATTTCAATTATTATTAATAATTAGTTGAGTTCATTAAAATTATTATATATTTTTTCTTTTTATGATAACTATTTTAGCTAGCTGGCCATGCAGGTAGCTAGGTAAAAATAACACTCCGAACAAATATTAATTTAGAAGTCAAACAACAAAGTCATGTTCAAGAATTCTCTTAAACTGCAAACTTGCCTTTCTTCAGTCCATCATAAGGGATACACATCAACACTTATCCAAAATTGAGCTTGAGCTATATAAACTTCATCTGGAACTCACTAATTCATATCCAAATTCACTGCCATTGAAATAAGAATGTGGTTAACCATCATAAAAACACATTTTAAATTCCAAAATCTTCTTTTATGGAGTCGCTTATCCCATCTGTTGTGAATTGTGCCAGATTATATGCTCTTCCCCAAATTCATAAAAGGGGTATTCCTTTCCAAACTATTGTGCCAAATTTATGTACTGTCTTGTACCTGTTAGCTAAATATTTAGCTTCTAGATTTTCAACTCTATGAGGTAATAATACCAAATCCAGACTTTGTGAATTGTCTCTTACATCAAAATTGGTGAGCTAATTTCCCTCACTCAACTCTGTTTGAAACAAATGCATTTTGTTTTCCAAAATAAGTATTACAGTCAAACGTCGTTAATCCGGACTCGTCGGGACTTCGGCGATTCCGGATTATCGATTTTTCCGGATTATAGATCATCAGTTTAAATCTCATAAGATGGCATGCACAAATTCTAAAATTAAAAATATGAAACCGTAATTTATGAAATAAAGAACAATTATGATCTAAAGGGTATCAAAATTTACAAAAAAAAAAAAAGCTTAATATTTATTTGTTTACTTTATTAAACATTTCTTTCAATGTAAATTGTTTCGTTTTATGTGATAATACTTTCTCTTTAATTCTATAAAGACATAATTTCTTGTTCAGTTACAAAGCTCTGCTGTTCAAGTCCCGTAATTGCTGTGCCGAGAATACCGACTAACTTGTCAATCGAAATTTTTTCGTCTTCACTAACCTCTCTGTCACCTTCTTCATGTCTTTATCCATTTTTTGCAGCAATTCCACTTTTTGTTTGACGGACATCGAGACATACTTTCGTTTTGTAGATCCTTTGGGAGCTCCAGAATCGGAAATTGACATAATCGAAAGTTCAAGTTTACTTTTAATAAAATTGCTCTTACAGTCTGCAAAAAATAATAAGCTGCATCCAATTCGAAGATTAAGGAATAATGCAAGCATCAACATTAACTGAAATAGATAATTGTATAATTTTAGCTTATACCGTCCGTTATACGTTAAATGCGCACGCGAAAATGTATTCTGCACTTGCACACGCGCATATGCGCGTGCGCGTAAAGGTCTTAAGCGCACGCGTAAACGCCTATGCGCATGTGTCAACGCGGCGCATGCGCAGAAAGTTTTTAGCTTTGAGGTCCGAATTATAGATCATTCCGGATTATGGGTGTCCGAATTAACGACTTTTGACTGTACAAGCAAACTGAGGGATTAGCCAATCGAAGCCCCCCTCATTCCCAACCTGGCTGGTATCTACTTGCATTATTATGAATCAAACTTATTTGAAACTGTAAACTTCCCGGCATGGTTTTACGTAGACGATACTTTTACCCTGTTTGATGGTAATAAAGATGATTTAAATAATGTTCTTTCAACCGTGAATTCCATTGATCCTGCTATTCAATTCACTTTGAACTTGAGACATGCAATTTTTTTCTGTTCCTCGACATTTTGGTCACACATAACACATCCAATTTTAGTACTACTGTTTACCCTTAACCTTCATCAGTTTGCCTTCCATATTTCAAATAATGTCGTCCGACTAAACAAAAGTTAGCTTCATTTTACTCCTTTGTTTTCGGTGCATTTCAAATATGCTTCTCCGAATTGGCTGTTGGTCAAGAACTAAATTATTTAAAAGCAGTAGCTATTGATAGGCACTTTTCGCCCAACATTATTAACCAAACAGTTAAAAAATTCTTATCTCAACACACCAAAAAGCACACTCTTGTTTTAAAAGATTATAAGAATTCTGCTGTTCTTTTCTTTCCAACAATTAGCTATAAAATTGCACGTATTTTACAGAAATTTAACTTTCGTGTCATTTATTCTCCTATCAATAAAATTCCTGGTTCCATACTTAAGGACCCCATTTCAGATGTGATTTTCTGGGGTATTTACAATATTCCTTGCCAATGTGGTTTAATTTACATTGGTCAAACAAAGATAGCCTTAAAATTTCACATTAAAGAACATGAGGTATATGTTAGGGAAAAGGAAACACAGAAGTCCTCAGTTGCCCAGCATTGTTGATCAGAAAATCATGCTTTCGATTTTTCTGCGTCCAAAGTTATTCAAAAAACATCTTCCGTTGATGAATTAGATTTTTAAAGGCATTTCACATTAAATAAAATCTCTGCTGTAGTTAATGACCATAATTCCAATCCATCTTTACCTTCAACCTTTAAGGAAATTGTATTGTAGTTTTCATGTTTCATCGATAGATGGTGCCACTAGCTTAACTCCTGTACAGCCATACTTATCTTATTTTATCTTATCAATATATCTTATCTCATTCATTTGCCTATTGGATGATTGACCATTGAAACTAGTCCTATGAAAATTTAAAAATATAACTCTAATTATTGTTGTTTGAGTTCTAAATTAAAGCTAAGTAACTAGTAATTCGAAATGCAGCAGTAAAGCACCAAATATAGTACCTAAGTAAAAAGGGTGTTTTATGATGCTCTGCCATTCTCTGGATTTATGAATCTGCCTTTATAACTCCAGTGCTCAAATTCAGCTGCGTTCATTGTGTATATTTACAAGAATTTCAGTATCTCTCATTTGAATAATTAGTTACTCGGGTATCTTCAAGTAAACAGAGCACTAGTCATAGTAATACACCAAGGCATCAAATGTAGTAACCTATTTGTTTCTCTTTGATGTCATTATAAACAAATGGGAAGACTGAACATTGATCCAGTAATTTTCATGCTGATTATTATTATTTAAATTAGTAGCAGTTTAATTTATTTAATTTATTTAATACTGATTTATTTATTATTTAATTTATTTAATACTAATACTTTTAACATAAGACAAATGAATTTAAATAATAATAATCAGTTAATTTAATTAAATAATAATAATAAATAATAATTAATTTAATTTAAATAATAATAATCAGCATGAATTATGTGATTTGGAAATTCCCAAATGATCAAGAGCTGTGATTAAGTTTTTCCAAGGGAGAGGTATGTTTACTGCTCAAAAAAGCCACAAAATCAAATTTTATTCTGTTGCTATAGAAAAGCTACCAAAAAGGTGCTATAGTGAAAGACTGTGTCTCAAAAGAAAAGGTTTACATAACAGAAGCTGATTCGAATTTTTACACAAAACTTTTTTGATGACTATTTACTTCTAGTGTCAAGAGCTCACACTTGTCAAAATTCTGTCATTTGCAACCAAGTATGAAAGTAGTGCTCTTTAACTGAATGATACTGGTACTTGAGAAACAAGACCTTTATTAGTCTCTGATCAGATATCATGAAAACACATTACTGTTGAAGAATATCTGATTGTCTTTGTTCCAGTTTGCCTATTTTTCACATTTATTAAACAAACGTTTGTCTATTTTGGCAATCACTTTTGGACTTTACATTTTTTATTTAAATTTTTACTTCCTTGTAGGAGGTAAATGAAGTATTGTAATCATGAAAAATTCTGGGTATCGTATTTCAACAAAAATATTGATTTTGATTGCTATCGAATGCAATTTAACAATGTTTTTGTGCAACAGCTGTATGTAAGGACAAAATTAAGGATTCCATTTCCCAAACGAATTATAAAATTGATTTAAAATAGATTCAGAACAGATTATTTTTTTTCGTGGCATCTGTACATATGTATATATCTCGTGTAACTCAAAAACGAGTAGCCTCAGAACTTTGAAATTTTGTATATGGGACTGTTATAATATGTAGTTGTGCATCTCCCTTTCTAGTCTTGATGGGCTGCAACCACTATATTATTATCTTACTTTGCAGCTATTGGACAAGTATTAGGAAATTTATTTTGATTTCAATGAATTTCAGTTCATTAATTCAATACAATATACACCCCACTCTGTTACTCGACTCCGTAATCTCAGTATTTTTAGTCTTATATGTTGGTAGACTGTGCATTTTTTGCTTTAAAAATAATTAAAGTCTGTTGTTCTTATCTTTCAGTTAATGTTTTTATGCCTTTAGTTAACCTGCATGTAATAGTTGTAGGATTATCAACAATTTAAAAGTTGTTTAAGCGCAGCTAAGCTTAATTTTTCTTACTATAGCAGCCATATTTGTTTACATTTTAATCTTAGCAGAATAGTGCATTTGTTGCCAAGCTAGAGATACTAAGTTTCACAGCAGCAAAGTAATGTCTTCTTTTATTATTGCGAATTAAATCATGCCTTATCATTTCTGGAATTATCATTTAAGTTATTAAATTATTGGGCTCCTCACGTTTATCTTTATTAACTAAGTGTTTAGAAACCAAGTGAACTACTAAGTGAATAATTGCTTTAGTCCAAAAATAGAAACATAAACTCAGGAAGGGTTAATTACCGTTTATTGCTCAAAATAAAATTGACAGATGGTCCCTTTCTCAGGACATACAACAAAGCGTCCACTTGAGCTTAAACTAAAAAATGTAAGAAATAAGAACTTAAATAATGACTGACTAAAGAGATTTAGCCAAAGCTAACACAGTTTCTAAACTAATTGACCCCTAGTATTAAATTAGCTATCAAGTGCACGTAATACGGCTGAGGTAGTAACGCCAAAAGGCAAACACGCGCTGTTGGGGAAATCTAATTCTCTCCGTCGAAGTCAGTGAACTTTGACTTAAATACTCTCTACTACTCATTTGCATGTAACGCGATGCTAAAAATCACTGTGGTAAAGAATTGTTAACTGAAGCTAGAGGAGAAAGGAAAAGAGCTTTAAATTAAAAATAACTGTTGTAAAATTATTATATCTCTTACAAAATTATCCCATATATTGACTCAGCATAGCATCCACAACAATTTAAGTCAGTTTCTGCCCCTTCGGTGTCTTTTTCCTGAGTGAGACCAAAAGTAAACTTTCAGTTTTGTGCACTAAAAAATCTGCCTTCTTGCCTGCTGCCCAAATTGCTTGTTTTTGCGTAGAAACTATAATTTTAATTGTAAAAATTGTTTTTTAATTGTTTTAACAGAATTTGGTCTTTTATGTTTTTCTATATCTTTTAATTTTTAATATAGATATTATGAGTTTTTATGTATTTTTGCCTTGTCACGAAGTCAAAGCTGAATTATTTAAATGAGAAATATATCTCTAATGAAATTCGAAGAAGTTTAAATGAAATTGCAAGAACAAAATGTGTATAATTTAAAATTCTGTGTAAGAAAGTCATGGTGTGTACGGACTTCCTTGCACAGATTTTTTTTTTTTTGACTTTTTTTTGGTTAATAATGCAGCACAGATTTATTGCATATGGTTATGCCAGTCTACTGCAATGTAATATGAGATTTCAAGCTGTTTTTACATTGTTCTTCTTTATGTTGGAGCTACTAAGGTGTTGTCTTTGAACTCTGGCTGGTATCACTAGAACATTAATCATTTGCATTGAAGTACTTTTTACTTCCTTGTGCGAAGTAAAGGAAGTATTGTAATAACGAAAAATTCCGGGTATCATATTTCAATGAAAATATTGATTTTGATTGCTATTGAATGCAATTAACGAGGTTTTGCAGACTCTGTATGTAGGTCAGAAGAAAGACGGTTGACCAAACAAATATAAAACTGATTTAAAAATTCAGAAGCGATTTTTTTGTGAAGTCTGTATACATAAGTATTTGCATAATCCAAAAATGAGCGCCTCAGAACGTTGAAATTTGTAATAGGATGCTATAACATGTAGTTGTGCACTCTTTTTGATGCAATTAGACGCCCAAAAGAATAAATAATATTATATGTACCCACTCTGATACTCAGCTCAGTTTTTTTTTTTTTTTTTATATGTTGGTAAATTGCACATTTTTTGCTTTAAAAATGATTGAATTCTGCTCTTATCTTCCAGTTAAGGTTTTTATGCCTTTAGTTAATCTCTATGTAATAATAGTAGAATTATCAACAATTTAAAAGTAGTTTAAGTGCACCTAAGCCTAATTTGTCTTACCATAGCAGTTTACATTTGAAACTTAGCAGTATAGTGAATTAAGTCTTTCTGCACCTTCAGTGTCTTTTTAGTGAGCGGGACCAAAAGGAAACTCTTAGTTTTGTGCACTGTGCCTTCTTGCCTACTGGCCAAATTGCTTGTTTCTGTGTAGAAACTCTTAAACTTTAATTGTAAAAATTGTTTTAACTGTATTTAGTGTTTTATGTTTCTCTGTATCTTTAAATTTTTAATGAAGATATTTTGAGTTTTTATGTGCTTGGATCATACAGAAATGATTGACGCAATGGCTCTCACAACAAAATTATTACACAATGCAACAGGGAAAACAAGCGAAACAGACACAAAGGACGGGGGGCGTGAGCTATATAGAATGCATAGATGGCACTCGCTGCAGGCGAACAGTGTAAGTCAGTGCCTGTCCCTTTTGCCGTCGTCATTGAGAGCCTGGGTAGCTATGATGGAAGGTGACTATCGCAGTCAGTGTTGGGCAGCATGGTTCCTGTGGAAAGAAGGGATACAGGTTGGCGAGATCCATCATCACATGGTGTCAGTGTGCAGGAACAAAGCACCCTTAAAACGTGCCATATATCGTTAATTGGCCAAGTTCAGCAGTAGATTGGACACCGCAGCCAAAGGTGTCAGCGCGGGACGACCAGCAACATTGTGTACAGCAGCAAATGTGCAGACTTGTTGGATTTGATCATAGCGAACAGCCGCATAACGTTTAACGAGATGCAGGAAGAGACAGGGCTTGCACAAGGAACATTGCAGGCGATTGTGTGTGATGATTTGGAGATGACAAAGGTGTCTGCAAAGTGGGTGCCTTATGCACTCACGCCACATTAAAAGCGAAGTGTGTCAACATCTGCAAAGAACTTCTTGCACTACATGATGTCGATCCAGATGATTTCTTCGCCTGCCTGGTCACAGGGGACGAGTCATAGTTTTTGTACTACACTCTTGAGGGGAAAAAGCACAGCTCCATCGAGTGGAAACATGCATTAAGCCCACGTCTCAAGAAGCCTAGGCCGTAATTGAACACATGAAAACAAATGGCAACAGTCGTCTAGGATGTCCAGGGCATTCTTCTCATGGACTGGCTGGTGCCTGGGTGCACCATCAACAGCAACTGGTACTCTGAGGTTGCCAGGATGCTGCGACGGTGAATTAAGCAACGTTGTCTGGGCAAATGGGTACTGCACATGCTGTTGCAGCTCAACAACGCATGCCCCCACACCAGTCCAAACACCTATGACACTTTCGAGGCATTGGGCTTCACTGTGATGCCACACCCTCCGTACTCTCCTGATCTGGCTTCCTCAGACCTTGCCTTGTTTGACAAAATGAAGGGCGCAATCAGGGGCCAACATGTTGAATCTTCTGTCGAATTACATGCAATTGTCCGTAGGTGGTGCACCAACAGCCCCACAGACTGGTTTACCAAAGCCCTCCAGGACCTTCCGCCAGATGGCAGAAATGTATTGACTTGGGCGGGGATTATTTCTAACTGATGTACTATCCATTTTTGTTAATAAATTGTATTCCGCTCTTGGCAGCATATGTGTTATTCATTTCTATACGACCTAAATATTTTTGCTTTGTCACGAAATGAGAACTGAATTAATTGAATGAGAAATATATCTTGAAAAGAAACTTGAGAAAATAAGTTTAAATGAAATGCAGGAAAAAATGCATGTAATTTAATATTCCATGCAAGGAAGTCGTGGTGTACACATCCAATTTTTTCTTAAAGTAGAATGAGGACCTGCAAATTGTGGTTTTGTGTGCTAGATGTTTTAGATTTTATGATAGATTAATTCTTACTTTATACAAATTTAATTATTTTTTCAATGCTTTGTAAGTAAAAAATTTATTATTTATTATTAAATAAATTGAAATCTTCATTAGGATTATGGCTTAGCTGAATATTACAAAAGAAAGTTCTCATTTTGTTAAATTTATTTTCTAATATTTTGTTTTTGTAAATGACAAATAAATGTTACTTTCTGATCTCTTGATGATGAACTGGTCTGATTTATAACGCTGGTTTCTTTCTACGTAGATTATATGTAGAGAGGAATTCACAAGTGGAAATCCATTTAGAGCTTGTAAAAGCGGGAACTGCTGATGATTACACACAACCTCTTCAAGAACTACAACAGAATTTAAAAAATCGCCTTGAAGTTGCAGGTTTGTTTCTTGTATACATTTAACTTGTATGTAACACTGCAAGTACAGATTTATTTATTTATTTATTTATTTATTTTTAGAAATTTTGAAGAGATTTAAGCTTGATAATATTAATAATATTAGCCAGTCAGAAATACAGGCAGCCAAGCAGAATCTTGAAGTAAGCATTAATATTTCATAAATGTTTGTTTATATAATGTGGTATTCTAAATTAGTATTAACAAAACGTATTTACTCATATCCAGTAGAACCAACAACCATACAGGTTGGGATTTTAAGTTGTGCAAATTTTAGGTTATAAATAGAAACAAATTCATAAAAGCTTTTCATTTCCTTTTAACATTTTTTATTGTGAAATCCATATTCAGTATATTATGTGTTTTATGTATAAAGAAAATAACAATAAAAAGAATATATAAGCTACAATATTCAGTACAATACAGCCAAAACTATAAACATTGGATTTTAGACATTAAAATTGTTAGAAAAATGCATGATGAATTGTTCTGCAATTGTAGCCACATTAAATAATTTGCCCGAATTCATACTTTTCAGTAAAAGTAATCGTGATCATCAACAGAATTAATCAAATTTACACCTTTTTACAATAATGGTACAACTAATGCTAAATGGAATATCTTTGCTGGTAACCTTTTACGCTTCATTTTCAAAACAAGTCGCAGCCATTTCTTATCAGATTGATTGTTTCTTTCAATACTGGCATACAATTAATTACATAGAATTTTTACAAAATATAGTTAAATTTTATACCCTAAGACCATTTGTGGTAATTAAGTCAATTAGGATGCAATCACACCGCTCACCCGAAGGCGAAAATGTAGGAAAGACAAGATTAAGGGTTGAATTCATCAATTCTAATGAGAATGCACTAGCGAAGTAAAGCACTACGGTTTTACATAATTTGTGAGTAAGCTATTCATATGAATTGAAATAATTCTTGCATTTAAACTTGTATTCCAAATTAAGATTTAACTTGAAATTAATGTAGATAATCACTGAGAGATTTTTGTAGTGTAGTTTACGTGAAATGAGATCACTTTGGGTCACCTGATACGAATCGGGGAATCAGGATGTTGAACCATGAAAGCATAGTAAATTCTTAAATTAACATCTTTTTTACAAATTTATTGTCTTTATTTATTGGCTTTTTACAAAATTTTAAATCATATTAATATGGTTATGCCTTCCAAATAAAAAATTCATAGAACTAAAATTTTTTATGTGTGTACTGTATGCTGTTGCCAAACTCTGCTTGGCGAGATTTGCGCCGGTGAAACGGAAAAGTACCCCATAAAAATGTAATCATTATCAAAAACAGAATGAATCAAATCAAATCATGACTTTAGTGGACCAACCGAAGAAATTTTTTTAAATGTTTCTGATCAATCTGTGTTACAAAAATCAAAAGAGTGATCTGTTGTATAAGATAATTCACATTTTATGTGTAGTAATCATATATATTTTCATAAAAATAAAACCTCAAAAATTATGAAAAATATGAAGGATTCCTTTAAAAAATTTCTAAATTGGTGCTAAATTATGCTGCTTGATGACAGTTTCACTATCTATGGTATAATATGTTAGTACAAATAATCATATAAATTAAAAATATATTAATAAAATTCAATAGTGAAACTTGAATTTGGGTGTTTCAGAACAAAGATTTATGAGAACGAGGTATGAAAAGAGTCCACCACTTTGCTGTTATAGAAACGTAGCCCGAAATGTGCCACAAAAAGTTGGGTCTGTCAAAAAAATACTATTTTTGATTCTTAATAATAAAGCTTACAAATTATTGTTTCTTGCTTATAATATGCAGGATGTTCAAATATAAGCAGCTTTCTTGCTTATAATATGCAGGATGTAATGAAACTGAAAATACTGAAATGATACTGAAAAGCTGACAAAGTTCAAGAAAAACTTTATGCTAAAATTTAAAATGAAAGCTTAAGATACAAATGAGTATTTAAAAATAATAATAATAAAATATTAAAAAAAAACTGAAAGCTTTCAGATTTTACATTATGCCCAAAGAGGTGTTTTTTTAACAATTTGTGTGTTACATTTATTTATTAAATATCATGTTCTTCGCACTTAAACCGTAAAATTCAGTTCAACAGCAATATCACAAAATAATTCTAGCATATCTTTAGAATTTCTGATACACAGTCTCGCACACTGGAGATAAAAATGTTTTTTTCCCCCTTTTTACAATGTTGCCATTCCTCGCTTTGAAATGATTTTCTTAATCAAAAATTCTTTAATGTCCGACAAAATCTGAAATAGATAATAAAACAAATTCTAAATTAGTGCTTCCAGATGACCATATTTGCTGGAGGATTATGTTATTCAAAATTTGATGGCTGTAGGTACCGTTGTTTTATTACAGTGCGAGAAACATACATTCATTTATGTAGATTCTTCATTATTTAGTTTTTTTAATATAATAAAGGGCTGTAATAGTTTTTGTCAACAGTTTGAAAAGTGAATTGACACAAAATGCCAAAACGAAATTAATAGCCCTTTTGAGCTAATGCGCTTTGGGCTAATAATTTTAAGCTGTGCATGTGCAAAATATATTAACTTTTTTCTTTCAAAACTTGGTATTATAGAGACAATGTATATAAAAATGCAGGATAATATCATTCAAATTCCAAAAATATATTGATGATATAATTATTAGCAGTTACTTTCTGGGATTAACTGGATGATGAGAGATTTTTCACAAATTGTCTATTTCTGTCAGGGGCTTCCAGATCTTTACATTTATTCATTCTGACATCAAACATTTGTTTTATGCTCAAGCACTTTTCTTCTGTTTCTTATGTAGCATCAGACACATATTTTTGGTTATTTGTCTATTCCAGGATTAATTCATTCATAATAAAATAATATCAAATAAATTAAGAAAATACTAATTTGTGGAAATTTTTCCCTATAATTATTTTGTTATTGGCTTATGAAATGCATGTATGACTGAATTTTCACTGGAAAATGCGAATTCAAGCATGTTATTATATGACCATAGTTACAAATTAATCTTCTAAATATTTTTTTGCCAAAATATATATATGGTTAATGTTGGCTATATAGTATATTACAGAATAGAGGAAATTATATAAAGCTGGTCATTCTGATACAAGGGAAAAATACTATTTTTAGTTCTAATCACTGGAAAGATAGCAAATTGCTGCAGCATTTTTCTGTTGACAGGGTGGCAATCATTGCTAAATATAAAAAATTTTGCAAGAATATAGACAGTAGTAGTTTTAGCAATCATAAATGCATTGTAGGTTAAAAATATAATTGTATATGAGTACTTGAAAAAATATTGGAGAGTTTCATGTAGTGAACAATTTGACCAAATAAATTTTGAGTTCACAATCCTGTATTGTTTTGGTATGATCACTGTTTTGATTTTTTATTAGCTTTAAAAATTATTTCATTTTGTGGTTATTTGAGATGAGTTTTTCACTGTGGATAATTCCTTTTGATACTTTTCTGATTATTATGATATGGTTGCCGCCTTTCTGAAAAGGTGGCAACCATTTGCAAGCAAATCTCACAAGTACGTGTTTTAAAATAGAGGTTAAGGAAAAAGTATTATAATTTTCTTATAAAAACCATTAGAATTTGAAATGTATATGAAAATGGACATACTGCTTCCTGAAAATGAAGACTTATGTGTATTTGGTACACTCTGAAAATTTGGTGATGGTACTAAGGTTGCACGCTGTAATATTAACTATCTTTTATTTGCTGTCCCATCAGAAAGGCTAACGGCTGAATTCAAACAGCACAGAGTTAATCTTCATTTATGAATTGCAAGTGTTATAATTTTTTTAAAAAAATATTTGGTGACAAAAATTGGTAGCATTTGTATAGTAGCTTGTTTCAACTCAAGAAACCAGTAGCAATTTGTAAATGTCACCAAAAATTGCCAAAGCCATCTTATCTGCATTTCACTGTTGACATCTGAAAGGCTGTACAAATTTTGGTTTTCTTCTGTATCATAAAATTAATTTTAAGTACTTTTCTGAAATTACGTGATACTTCTAAAATAAATATTTTTTAAAGCTGTATCATGCGTTTTTAAACCCTTATTTGCACATTTTCGTGATGTTATTTCAGCACACCTCTAGCTTAGTACTAGGTGTCCCCCCCCATCCAAATTTTTTTGGTTACTTTTTTCAGGATTTCTCCCTTTTTTTACTAAATTTCTGTTGTGACTTCATTTCATCTCTAAAATACTTTTTTTTTTATAATATATATAAAAAATCATAAAAAATTCAGAAAAATGGTAGTTTTATATGCTGCTTCTTGAATGGCTAAATAAAATTGTCAAAATAAAAAATAGCAGTAACTAACAAACATTGCTGTAAAAGGAGAATTAAAGAAGACTAAATAATAGTCATAAAATTCAAGTTGTCAAAAAAAAAAAAAAAAAAAAAAAAGTTTCTCTTTTGCAGTGGATACAATGCCACATCAATTTGATTAAATAAGAGTCTAAATGTTAGCAGATATTGCCTGTTTGACATTTATTGTACCATTTTGCATTACTCCACAAGTGTTTCCCTCCAAAAAAAGGTAATAAATATATAACAGACTCTAATCATAAATATTTCCCTGCATGTAACTGAAGAATGTGTCAAACTCTGAAAGAAGATACCAATCTTTCACTTAAATATTGATTTATTAATCTTTACATCTGAAAATAAACGAAAGCTACAACTTAAAACAAATTCATGGAATACAGATAACATTGCCACACAAAAGAAAACTAAAAGTAATCATTTAAAGTCTCTGAAGTTACTTCTCGTTCAAGAGTGATGTCATATTTCATGGAGCTCATAATATTTTTTTTTTTTTTTTCCTTTCAACAAGCTTTTAATGAACTGGATATGACATTTAGTTTCTAGAGATAAACAAAATAAGAATATTTTTCAGTGAAATATTCAGGGTTCTAAATCATGAAATTATTTATTATTAAATTATTTATTTCATGAAATCATGAAATTATTTTATTAAATCTCAAGTGATTCAATTTTAATGGCACAACAGAGGGTTTGTTAAGGTGTTTTATGCTCTTGCTGAGCTTGCAGTTTACCAGTTTGGGTACTCTTTTGTTATCAGGACCAGATTCAGAAATGTATTATGAATGTAAGTGCCCATGTATACGTGTATATACGAGGCTAAGTTGAAAAAAGTTTCCCCTGTCGACTGTGGTCAGAGTTGTGTATGAAAAGTCAAAAATAGAATGAGACATTAAAGATATCTTTGCATATGGAAGAAGCGTTGAACGGCTATGGGCGAAAGGCGACACAGCAGGAAAACGCGTATGTCACTGATACACCATTGGGTAGAGGTCGCTACATAACAAGCAGATGGCGCTGTTGCAGTGCCTGCACAAAGCGGAGACCAGCCTCTCATTTGAGCCCCGGTAGGTATGGAGAGAAGGTGCGTTTGATTCGTGGGTCAAAGGAGGAAGTGAGAGCGGTTATCCGCTATGAAAGGTCACGTGGAGTATCAGGAACAGAAATTCATAACGCCTCGTGGAAAAAGTCTATGGGCAGGTGTGATGTCGAAGCAAATGGTGCGGAGATGGTGTCGCACATTCAGTGATGGACGTCAGCAAGTGGAGGACATACCGAGAGCTGTACGGACGCGCACGACCACTACAGATGCAAATGTCAGGAAGGTAGATGACATGATTAGAGCGAACCGGCGTATCACCATCGATGAAGTAGCGGAAGAACTTGGAATCTCACATGAGCGAACTCAAAACATCATCCACGACATTCTTTGATACAGAAAAGTGTCAGCATGATGGGTGCCGTGACAATTGACCTCGACACACAAGGAACAATGCATGGGGGTCAGCCTGGAACATTTTGTGCATTACCATGAAGATGGCAATGACTTTCTGTTTCGGATTGTGATGGGGGATGAAACGTGGGTCCACCATTTCACGCCAGAATCGAAGGCCGCACCTATGGAGTGGAAACATCCGTCATCACCTGTCCGAAAGAAGTTCAAGACAACTCCCTCTGCAGGTAAAGTGCTCCTCACAGTTTTCTGGGACATCCAGGGAGTTTTGTTTTTGGACTTCTTGGAGGTTCGAACCATCAATGCTACGCGCTACTGTGACACCCTGTCGAAATTGAAAGAGGCGATTCGGAAAAAGCGGCCTGGCCTTCTCACATCTGGCGTTCTGCTGTTGGATGACAATGCCAGACCATATTCGGCGACAGCAACACAAAACCATATTGCAACTCTTGGTTGGGAGCGCCTACACCATCCGCCATACAGTCCTGATCTCGCACCAAGCGACTTCCATCTGTTTTCGGCTTTGAAGAAAAAAATCTCGGGGGGAAGGCGCTTTGGAAGCAATACTGAAGTGAAACAAGCCGTTCAACGCTTCTTCCATATGCAAAGCCCTGATTTTTTCCTGGAGGGCTTTTTTAAGCTTATCAAGCGATATGACAAATGTCTCAATGTACTTGGTACCTATGTGGAAAAATAAAAGTATGTCATATCTTTAATGTCTCATTCTATTTTTTGACTTTCATACACAACTCTGACCACAGTCGACAGGGGAAACTTATTTTTCAACTTACCTTCGTAATTGGGTGTGCGTATACACACACATACGTGGATGCATACTTACACATGTTCATACAAACATTTTTGAATCCAGTCCCAATAACAGAAGATTACCCCAGTTAGTTCCCCTAGATTCATTCTTGGTAACACAACTTTTTGTATCTTTTCAGCTTCAGTATTGAAATTTGGTTTTTGCTTCAAATGCTTATAGTATGCACTCAGTGTTAGATGAAAACAAACAAAATTCAACGTTTCAGAAAATTCATCGTAGTAAATTAAATGGCAGGTTCTTTTTGTTGTATGTCTGTATGCAAATAAACTTTTTAATACATTATACCCATTGGGCCCACGAGCGGCCGAGCGGTAAAGTTGCTGAACACTGGTAGTTCGGTCCGAGGTTCGAATCCCGCGAACGGGCTGCCGTCATGGGCGTTTTCGTGGTTTTCCCCATGTGTAACGTATATACGAGCCAGTTTCCCTTGGAAAATTCCTCCACGAAGGCATCCCTCCTCTTAGGCAGATACCCCTCGAGGCTTTGCCATAATCACACACACATTATACCCATTACATGTCTTGATTCTTGCAAATTAATGTTTTCTGCAGTTATTTTTTTCCATGCTTGTCGATTATGTCAATGCTAATCTTTTATTCTCACAAATTCTTTTGGACAGCTTCCTTGCAAGAAGTAAACATGTTTGCTATGTAAGCTTTTAACTTTTACTTAATTAACATTTGGTGATAATCTTGGCACACTTGGTAAGGTAAACTATAAAAATGAAATGATTTCATATCAGATGATCTTTTGAATAATTATTGTCATGATTCAAATTTTTATGCATTTTACTATCTAATGAGGTTTTGATATTATTTGTTTTTTACAGAGTGAAAAGTCCTTATTATGGGATTCTATAAAATCTGATCTAGAAGAAAAAATACGAAGATTAGAAGAGGATCGTAATAGCATTGACATTACTTCAGGTATTTAGTTTTTATTTTCTTGTATTTTTTATTATAGTAGACAAAGAGCTCTACGTGCTTGCCAAAATAATACACTGTGTCCATAAAAATTTTTATATAGCTGTTATTTTCACAGCTTTTGATTACAGACATATACTTCCAAAAATGTTTTAAATGATGCAAAAATGTTTTAGCATTGTTAAAACTTAAAAAAAAAATATATATTAAAGAATTTGTCCCCTCACCTTCCCCCCCCCACAGTTTTGAAAAAATTGCTAACTCGCATAGTCCATATAGTAGTTATATTTAGTGAAATTTTGTATTCATTCTTTGCAGTAAAACAATTAGTATTTGATTTCTATAAAATTAAAATATATGTTTCTTTCTTTTTTCCTTTTTCTTTTTTTTTTAGAAATCTGGCTCCACCAGAAAATCAAACTTTTCTTCTTGGAAACCTCTTCTTGGAAGATTGGTTAAAATATAAATTAGGACCATGCAAAGTTTATTTTCCTACCCACACACATTTAATGTAATTAATTGATATTCCATTATGATTTACTACTATGTAACATTCTTTAATTTATAATTTTGGTATGCTTAATATTCTAAAACATTTTAACACAATTAATTCATAAGTTTTCAAATGCTAAAAGTGTGTGTGGGAGGGAAATGCTGTTTTTACTTTAAGATCTTTATCTAATTGTCATGTCAAAAAATTCATTGGATTAGAATATTTTTTATTTATGTAAATAATGTTACAAGTTTGTTATTTGCCAATTTTGAAACCTGCCACTATTTTCTAAAATATATATATTTTAAGAGTTTGATGAAAAAGGTAACTTTAAAAATATATATATATATATATATATATTGATCAGACTCATGATAGCAATCTTCAGATTAGTGCTTGTCACCTAATTTATTAGCACCAGAAACTTTTTATTAAACTTTTATTTCATTTCCTGTGTTACACACAAAGTTATATCTCTCTCTTCAATTTGTGTACAACCTCTGAATTCCAGTCTTTCTTTTTCTTTTTTTTGGGGGGGGGAGGGATGAGGATAAAATTTTACTAAGTAACAACCATAGGTTTAACAAGTTAGATTTCTTAATTTTTATAGAATTGGTTTTTTTTAAATTTAAAATTGGCAGGTAATTAAAATATTAGTGTCTTTAAAACATTTTTGTAATTCAACATAAATATCTATGACCAACACTTGCAAATGTGAGGGCTGTTTAAAAGTTTTTATGGGCATAGTGTATAATCCAATCTTACTTATAAATATTTCTGATATTTTTTATCATATTGCCATTTGAAAGCATAGTAACTTTTAAAAAACTATTAGTTAACTAGATATTGAGATGAATATTGGATTATCCATTTTATTTATTAAAGAGTTATTTCATCATGTAGAACATTATTTAACCATATTAGTTTTACTGAGTTATTATTTCACCATATAGACTTTACTAAGTTAGTTGATTATACTTTGCTTATTTAAAACTAATCAATTAAAATTTTTGTGAATATCCACCTGATTTAAGTGGAATGCAAAACTTTCATTGGGATAGTTTACTGTGCTCTTGTATAAGACATTGTTTATCCAAGATATCATTGAAACATGCATTAAAAAGTAACTTCATCAAAATATTTTTTAACTTTTAGGTGAAATCTTCCAGAATAAAAAAAAAAAAAAAAAATTCTTTTATTAGTTTTATAAAATGTTCATTAACTTTGCCTTTTTTATTGAAAAATATGCCATATATCTTGAAATTTAAATAAGCTACACACCTATTCTATATCTTTTATAGATTTGTGGAATGAGCAAGTGAATCATAGGAAAAACAAACGTAAAGCAGATCCACATTGTTTAGGAAAACGTAAAAAGCCAGTTACTGTTACAGATATCCTTTTCTTGTGTATTTCTTTATTATATAAAATATTAAATTTTTTCATGTTATATACATTTGTTGTGGTAATCTTTTTAATTTTATGTTTCTGAAATTATGTTTCAAATAATCAAGTAACAAAAAAAAAAAAAAAAAAAAAAAAAACTTAACATTTTATTTATATGTATAATTGCAACTGGATTGCAAAGTTAAAAGTGTGGAACTTTATCTTATAAAGTCCCAGACTTTTCAGTCATTTTCTAATTTTGCAGTGCATTCAAATCCATTTGTTTAGGGTTAATTTTGAAAATGCTGATAAGTGCATTTTTATTGCATGCAATTAATATTGTTTTCCTTTCATTATAATGAAACAGTTACTTTCACTATATTAATTTAGTAACTACTTTTAAGATAGAATTATTTGATTGCATATTGAGGGCTAAAATCTGATGTTCTGTGGAAAAGCTGATTCAATGTGAGAGTTTCTTTAATTAGAGTTTAATTCATTTGCTGTGTTATAGAAAGCTGTATACTAATAATGGTGATTTTACCATGTTATTTATCTGGAAATTTTTAGTTCTTAATTTTTATTTTTTATGCATATGCAAGCTATTATGCATAATTAACATAAATTGAAAACTTGGGGGTACTTTTTGGTTAACCAGGAGCAAAACATACTAACTTTTTTTGGGCGATAGTTTAGAATACTTGCACAAGTAATCAGAACAAAATGGCCATTACCCATAACAAAGCTGAAAACATTTTTCAATATACGGAGTGTTTCTAAATGAATATTGGGGTTTTAATGCTTTGTAGTATTCATTACATAAAACTTAAAATCGTAATTAATTCATGAAATGAAAGAGCAACTCAAAAAGTTCTGTTTGTTGTTACGCGCATGCGCCAGAAAGCGCTAGTAGCAAAAATGGCAACTAGTGAACAGAAAGCTTTTTGTGTTCTACAGTTTGCAAAGACAGAATCTGTAATTACTGTGCAACGGGCATTTACTGTGCAACATGCGTTCCAGATTAAGTTCTGATGTGATCCCCCAAGTGATAATAACATCCGTAAGATGGTATCATTAGTTTGAAAATACCGGCTGCCTTTGCAAAGGGAAGAGTATGGGACGACCAAGGGTTTTAGACTTGATGTGTGCCTTGTGACGAAAGGTGCTCATATTAACACTTGCAGGCTTGTAGATATAATTATATTTCATTTTATGTATAATTATAATTTTAAGTTTTCTATTATAAATACTACAAAGCATTAAAAACCCCAATATTCATTTAGAAACACCTTGTACATAAAAAAGTATTTATTTTCATGAATATCCAAAGAAGAAATTTTTATTTATTTGGTTAATCGATGCTCTTCCTCCTGTAGTAGGTAAAAACATTGCAACACAATCTAATTTCGCCAGAAAAATGAAGTTTCATTGTATGATTTCGATTATGTGTTGAATTTGTTGCTAATATCCCTTTAAAAAAAGAGGGGAGATGGACCTTCTCTTTGTGGTAATAGCTAAATTTTTAGCATTTTTGAATATCAAATTTGCATGATAGTAAAAATAGATGCTGCATTTAAATGAATACTGGAATGATAGGGAATAAATCCTGTCAGGTTTTTATGCAAGTTGGTGTAGATCAAAATTATTTGGACACTTTCCACTTGCGTCTGGCTAACCAAAATATACCAACTTAAGTTATATCAACATATTTACTTATCTCATAACATATATTGGTGTCACATAAGGCATTAAGTTATATTTAAAAATAGATTTTCTGTTTCAAATGTTGAGCTGTAAACTGTGCACTCAGAAGGTTTTCTCTAGTCTCTAAAATCAAGTGGTGTCTCCCAATTTTCCATTCCCAGTTCAAAAATATTTTCATTTGGTTCTAAGACTAAAATGTTTTTAGCAACTTTTCTCAATCTGTGGTCCTTGAACCCTGCCCTTCTGGTCCTCTTAAATTTCCAAAATAAGACAAAAAATAAAATTCAGTTAACCTTGTATACTACAGTATAGCTGAAAATCTCGGAGTTTGGCAATCATCTATCATGCATTCTCCCAAGACTGACATTTTATGAAATTTATTACCAGACACTGTGTCTGTGAATTTCCCATTCTAGTCTTGGCTACACAAGAGGAATTTAAAGCATAATGGCTGTGGTGCTTCTTACTAGCATATATACAAATATAGAACAGTTATGCAAGAATCTGCAGGCTATTTCATTCATTAATGTGACTGTTAACATTTATTTAATTTTCAGTTAACCCTTTGTTGCATACAAATAATCTAGAGAAATTAAATGAAAATGTTTGTATTTTTTCTACTTAAAATAACCTTAGTAATAATAATAATAAAAATTAATTTTATTCAAATTTCATTTTAAATAATTGCTACAGTTTTTTCACTTCAGTGGACAGCATGCATATACGTACATGCGTACAAATCTCTTCCCAATGATTTACGGTCATTGCATTTGAAATCCTTTCCTGCCTTGTTTGCAGTGATCATTACCATCTTCTAAATGCTAAATCTACAACCGACATGTACATACATATCCCCCAAAATACCTTCATTTTGTCGATTGTGATTGAATTAATTTTGCTATGATTTTGTAACCTGTACCTATTGGATTCAAATGTCAAATGTTCTAGAAATTCCTTGCCAAACATAAACATTTTCAGTGGTGTTTTGGCTTGATAAGCAGTACATTTGGGTTTCAATTCACTCTTTTCGGTAGATATTTATCTACCCACCCCACAATTTTCTCAATCTGACATTTAAAATAAAATGTCTAAAATTACTAATTATGAATAAAAAATGGCAGTATAAGAAAATGTAAGCAATATTATATAATGTTTACTATGAGAAATTGTACTAACTTGGAAACAGAAGTAGCAGCCATTTTCCAAATAGCAATGCCTTACTTAGTGATGCTATACAGCCATCTATGATTGACAGTTTAAAGTTCTAATAATATAGAATGAATAAACACAGGAATGGAATCTGTTAAGGCATTTACAGAAGAATAAACAAATTTAAATTTTTGTCTACTACAGTGGACATGATGCAACAAATGGTTAATAAGATAAAGATAATCCAAATGCTTGAATTACTTAAAAAATATAATTTTTTTATTAACTTAATTACTTAATATATAAACAAAACTGAATGAATTTTAATTAATTGTATATAAAAAATGTAAGAATACTAATAGTTTAAATATGCTGAAAAATTCTAAGGAAGCAAGGGTTGGTATACAGAACATTGTAATTTATAAAAATGGTGTCCACTTTTTTTTTTTTTTTTTAAAAAGTACTATTCTGTTACTGGAATTGGATTCAGAAATATGTATATGTATACACACACATACCTACATGCATATATACACTCATCCCATACATACATACATACATACGTACCTACATTTCTGAATGCAAGTCCTGATAATCGAAAAGTATTGAAAAAAATTTGAGAAACACTGGTATTAGAGAATGTCGAGTCTTGTAAACAGTTAATGACACTCAGATTAACTTTCTCATTTATTTACAGCGCACAATGTAGATTATATATGCTTTATAGAAATAGGAAATATATTAATTAGGGCAGAATGGCTGATTATAAAATCACTATACTGAACTTTTGACCTCTCCTGCCGAAAGCCAGTCTCTAACTCTTTTCCTCCACCTAGAGAGTGCTACTTATTTTTATGATTTAAGTTTTGGAGGACTAAGCACTACACCTTCTCCCTAAGATTTTGGTGGGACAGTATGTTCAAACACATTTTAATAGCAAAAGGCTTGATGCTCACAATCCAGCATTATATCTACTAACATGATACTTGATTATTTAAACTAAAATATAAAAATATTATAACATTTGCTTAACAAAGTAGTTAACTCTTATAAGTAAATATTTTTAAAGTAAAACTTTAAAAAAAAAAAAAAAAAAAAAAAAAAAAAGTTTAGAACGTTATGCTTAAATAATCTAATTGCTATAAGTGTCTAATTTCTGTAGCATCACAAATATTGCTTAGAAATATCTTGCAATACAATTACAATATCAATATTAAGAAAATAAGCAAATTAACAAATCAGCCTAAATCACCAAAGTCTTTATGAATTGTCCATATCATCAAGTATCTAAAAATCTTTTCTGTCCATGAAAGAAAACTTCTACCAGTCTGGATAAAGCATCTGCATTATATATTTTTCCTTCTGGGTAGTGTTTCTTCTCAATGCTGTATTTTTGAAGAGAAAAGTCCAATGCTGTAGTCTAGGTGATTGCAGTTCACATTTCGTTAAGCAAGGCAATACATTATGGTTGGTGTATGGTTCAACTGTACATCCGAAAATCCAGGTTTCAAGTTTCTTCAAACTATACAATAGCGAATGCTTCTCTTTCAATCGTAGACCGCAATTGTTGAGCTCGAGTTAACTTCTAACACATAGGCTTTGGGATGAATGTATTCATTGAAATTTTGAGATAAATTTGTTACAACTCCTATTTGAGAGGCATCATAATGTATAATAAAGGATTGCTCCAAAACTAGTGTATACAACGATGGAGCTTTAATCGGAGCATTCTTTAGTTCCATTGTAAGTTCAGTAAGTGGATATACTAACTTAAATTGTTTTTAAATATAGTCTCTGTAATAGTTACATAGACCTATATAAGCTGCCTCTTTCTGTTCGGTTTTGATAATCTGAAAATTGTTTTTATTTTCTCAGGATCTGCTTGATGTTTCCCAGAACCAATTAGATGACCCAAATAGTTGATTTGTATGTTTGGCCAAATCACATTTGCTGATAATGACTGTAAAACAAAGCTGTTATAGTTTGGCAAGTATCATATCCAAATGAATAATATAACATTTCGGGTCCTTTGAAATAACTGCGAAGTCATTAATACATGCTCTGGCCAAGTCTCCTTAGCCATAGAGTGCTTTATTGATTTCTCTTTGAAATATTGCTGCAGCATTTTTCAGACCAAAACTCATAACTTTACATC